CCTTTCTTTGTGTCTGTCCATTTCTGGGAAGCTCAGCTATGTTAAAAAAATACCCTTTAAAAAATACTTTATTCACCATTTTCAGATGTTTATCGGGCCATTTTAGTTTGCATCAGGTCATCTTTTGCAAACATAATGCCCTTCCATTCCTTGTCTGCCTGGTGAAATCCTGCTAATCTTCAACAGCTCAGCTCCATTTTCAAGTTTTCTCGTATTGCCAAGAACAATTCAGAAAAGTTCTTATTGGCATTGTATTTTCCTTCTCCCTTACTGGAATACAAGGAATTCTTTGAGAACAAAGGATGTATTTTTTCCATCTTTCAATTTCCAACTCTTGCTACAGTGCTCATCATAAAGTAGGTTTAATAAATGCTTATTTAACTGAAAATATTTTCCTGCATGAATATTGAATCTAAAAGTCTGAAGGAGTTGGTTTAAAATTAGGGTACTATCACCCACTAACTAAACTCATAGGATTATTTTTAGGACTTTGTTAATGTGAATGCACATGATGTATGATGGGCAAACCGTTTGTTTTTTAAATAACTTGAGACTCAGTCTCCCCAGTGTGGCAAACAGAATTTTTTTAGAGATGGCTGCAACAATAGCTCCCATCCCACTTGCTCTTCTGCAGTGAGCTTACCATTCTCCTATTAAGTAGTGTCTGTCTTGCCACCCCCTGGGTTGTCCCTGTGACCATTTTGATCAACAGAATACAGTGGAAGTGATGTGTGCCAGTTCTAGATGACACTTTTTTTTTTTTTAAAAAAAACCTTTTTATTGTAATATAGGTGAAGAGCAAATTGGTTTTCAACAGTTTGTACACATTTTTTGTTCATGACATTGCAATACACATAATGTAACAGCACCTCTTCCCACACCCTCCCTGTGGTTATCATTTCTTTGTCCTTTCCTATCCATTCGTGCCTTCTGAGCTTTATCCCTGGGCAAATGCTGTCCTTCTGACCTCTTACGGTTGATTGTTCTAAGGCAGGTGTACCTCCCTGGTGTTACTGTTCACCTCATAAGCCTGTCTACTGCTTGGCTGAAAGTTGAGCCCCAGGAGAGTTCAGTTCTAGGCTTGAAGGGTGACCAAAGTCTTGGGGATTTTCACTAGTCTCTATCAGACCAATAAGCCGGCTCTTTTATTATTATTTTGTTTTGTTCCAAATTTTTCTCCCACTCTTTCCAGGATCTCCAAATGTGATCCCTTTCAGAGTGATTGCAGTGGTAACTGGGCACATCTAGTTCTTCTTATTTTCTAAGCACTAAAGCAAGGTCACGAAGGTTGCAGTTCACATGATCCAGTTGTCCCGTAGACTGTTTCCATGAATCTTTGATTTTCTTCATTCTTCTTTGCTCTGGGTCAGCAGAGACCAATAGTTGCACCTTAGATGGCCACTTACAAGCTTTTAAGACTCCAGTCACTACTCACCAAAGTAGGATATAGAACAATGTCTTTGTGGACTTTATTGTGCCAATTGAACTTGATGTCACCTGCAACTATAGTCCTGGGCCTGCAGGCCCAGTGACTCATTTCCTCAAGATGTTTGGTTATAGCTAAAAGTTTTCATAATTTCACTCCATTAGCTCTACTATATATATGGACATTTTTACAGCACATACAAATATGTATGTAGAAATATTGTCTGCCAAACCTATGTATGTTTACTGGTGTAACATTCGCCTACCCACATCTGGTCATCTTGCCTATCTATGTATGTATTCACTCATAGATTGTTTGTAATTACTGATAATTACATAATTATAACACTTGTGTATGTATAGTGTTTACTTTTTTGTCTGTCTAGATGACACTCCTAAATGGTCTAGAAGCATCTGCCTCCTCCTTCTTAGAACTCAACCACCATGCTGTATAAAGCCCAACACACACGGAGAGGCCTTGTGTAGGCACACTTCAGTTGACAGCATGGACAGTGTTCCTAGGGAACAGAGAAATCAACTGCTAGCCATGCAAGTAAGCCATCCGACCACAACCACCTGAGATACCTCTCAGTTCAACCAACCAACCAAACCACGAGAATAAATAAATAGTTCTAAGAAACTATGTCTTGGGGTGATTTGTTACATAGTAACAGATAATTAGAATATTCCATTATGGAATTTACTTTTATAGAAGTGTTTTGAGGTTACTGATGTATGTGAAAGCATTTTCTAAGCACTAAAGCAATTATTTCTAAGCGGTAAGATTAAAATTCTTCTATATTCAACAGGAGAGAGAGAATCCTTTGCTTCTCTTACAATATTCTTAGTTCTCTGGTAAGGAATGTGAACTCTGCATCTGACCTGCATTCCACTGATTTGGGTCCTCCCTCTCAGGCATGACACCTTCCCAGGTCATCTATAAAACTGGCCTTTTGACAGTCCTGCTACCCTATTAACACTATTATCTTCTAGCTTTGTATTCAAACTCCCTAGCACCTTATTTCTCACCCTCAACCTTCTCAGAAAAGACCTTCTTCTAACTGACTCTAATCTCAATTCACCCATCCAAGGCAAATTATAGTCTATGTTTCTAGCTAAATGATTCTTCAATAACCATTTTTCCTTATCATGAGATCTTGGGAAGAAGGATAGTACACCTTCTCCTCACTTATAGACATGGTTAGGTTCTAAAGACCAGGCTGTTATGCGAAATTGGAGTTAAGTGAAAATGGAGGATGACCACATCAGATCACAAAACGGAGAATGACTACATCATTATGTAAGTACCAAAACATTGCAAATCACTGCCCAGCCAAACTGACACATAACCGTACCCATCAAAGCCAGTGTTACTCTTGTCTCACACCTTGACATTCATTACTGCCAGAAGTACATCATTAAAGTACAAAATCGTCAGATTTTTTACTATTGTCTTAATTTCAGAATCTCAGATAATGTGACAGTGAGGAGAGGGTGTACAGTGGTGGTTAACAGAGATACTGAGTTTGAACCCTTATTAGCCATTTGACCTTGGACAAGGTAAACTTTTTGCTTCAATTTTATCATATGCATTATGCTTTATACAGTGGCTGGCATGTAATAAGAGCTATGTAAGTATATTATTATTATTATTATTATACCATTTGTTTGCATTTTTTTGTTAGTTTAACTGGGTCAACCAACTCAGATTATATTAATAAAGCAATTATTCACATTTCAAAAGGCCAAATACATATAGCTCACTTGGCTTTCAAAAGCACTTGTCGTATTTCACAATGCTTAAGTCTACTCAATAATATGGCAAGATGAGGAACTTAAGACCTTACTCTAATTAATCTTCCTGACAAAATGACTGAAAGATATTTTGGAACTTAATTTCCTCAAGCCCTGTAATGAGTCTTTTTAAAATCCAGCACTTTAGTAGGTTAATTTTCCAAATCAAACCAAACTCAATGCTGTTGAGTTGGTTCCGACTCCAAACTCCTCCTTGGGTTTCTGAGACAGTATCTCTATGGAAGTAGATTGCCCAGTCTTCCTTCCAAGGAGTGGCTGATGGGTTTGAACCACCAGCCTTCTGGTTAGCAGTCAAATGCCTTAGGCACTACGCCACCAGAGCTCCTAGAAAATTTTAGTAGGGATAATATCCCTACAGTATCAATGAACATGAAGTGAGTATCTTTTCTTAGAACAATACCTATTTCTTTCAATTTCCATACATCTCCCTGATATGTCTTAAAGTACGTAAGAGCAGAAGGACATATTTTGAAAATGTGTATATTCACTAGAAGGAAAAGTATTCCGGGAGCTGAGTAACATTTCTGGTAATTTTGCCAAGACCTCAGCTACAGAAAAATCTGGATTAGGAAGATTGCTTCCCCATGGGCTAAAAGAAAACAGAACTAAGACAGAAATATCTGCTCAGACTCATTTATCGCATCCTTAGAATGTTTAATGGCAGTCTCTGGATTCAGTAAAACTGGAAAGACATGTATCAAACTATAGGTGTCTTAACTCTTCACCCAAAGCCTTTTGTTGGTTTGGCGATATACAAACTTTTACTTGCTCAGTTAATTTTTCTTGTGAGTGCCTACATTTTAGGGGGTTTTTAAAAAAGAAAAAAATGGGATTATACATGTTTATTTTTTCTTAAGAAAAAAAAAAGGGCCCTAAAATGTAGACTCTGGCTGATTCTTGCCAGCATGCACCCAAAGAGAAAATCTGTACAGGCAGAGTCTCTAGAATCAGCCCTCTAAGACTCGTAATCAGCATATGGATTCAGGGAACTGAGGAAACAGTCACTAAAGAGTTTGAGACAGCAGAGGAGGATTGAAGCACTTTTAATCACAGAAGAGTAAACAATAATATAAAACTGTTAACAGCTCACCCAGTGGCTGTTGTCTTCCCCTAACCCCCCTCCCTGTGTACCATTCAGTAAAGAAGCAGGGTGTCAGCAGCTGTCCCTGTCACTACATGGTGGTAGCAAGGGAATCCAGCTAGGGGCCACAATAGTCCTGGCCATCCATTCATGGTCCTCTGTTTCTATACAACTCCATCATGTGAAGTGCTCCAGTTCCAATGGAGAAACAGTGCAGAAACCTGGAGCTGAATTTGGCTGCTCCATTCAGATGGTCCAGGTACTTAGAGCCTCAAGAGCAATGGGCAATAAGGGAGGAGCTAGTCCAGAGCCAGCATAATTCAGGGTGCAGCCAGAATCTGGGATTGAGGTGGGGATAATGGGGCCAGGCAGTCCAGAATTGTGCCCCTACTCAGGCAATGAATTACATACATATACACAAATGCACATCGCGTGCACACACACACACACACACAGAGCAAATAACATTACTAAAAGGACCTGGAGGCTATTAAATACAAAATAGCAGAGTTTTTTTTTTTTTTTTTTTTTCAAAAAAAGGTGAAAATATTTGTTTGATTCTCCTCGGTGCCTTGCAGTTCCTCTAGTCACAGGAGTGCAGATGTGGGGAGGCCCAAGAAGAGTAGGTTGCCAGTGGCCCTGCAAGTCCATGTATGCTGAAGTCACCACACCAACCATCTTACTCTTCAGCCCAGTAGCTGCCTCCCATGTGGCCATTCACCCGATTGGCACCATTGCTGGAGTTGCTGCCACAGGGGCTTTTTGTGGTGTTGGTGGTCACATCTTCTTCCTCTGAGCTGCTCTCCACATCACTGCGATCATCCTTAGACACCTGGGGGATTGGAGCCAAAGACAGGAAAGGTGAGGGAAGAGCCTTTCTGGAGAGTCATAAGACAGACTGAGTCCACAGAGCCTATATTTGGGTATTGTTCCTGATCTGGTCTACTTTCTGGTGACACCCGACTCAAAATATTATCTGAACTGTGGTTACTGTTCCGAACTTCCTCTGTTTCCTGATTCGTCTCATCTCTGATTTTCTTCACTATGGTATAGAAGCTATTTTGTAGGCAGGGTGTCTCTTTCAGGACCAAACTGAGAGAGTTGGAATCACTGAGTCTTCAGTTTAGCTTTGAGGGAAACTCCACATATTTTTTCTCCTTTTTCCCCTTAAAGACTAAAAAAAGTTCAACACAAAAGGTACCTATGGTTGTCTTCACTGCTTCTATCCTCTGGTGGTTCTCGCCACTGAAGTTATTCATATTGGTTTTTCTGAACTTTGCTTTATACTAAATCTGATCCAAATCTGGGCCTCTTCTAGTAGTTCTACTACTCCTGTGCCCAGCTATCACTACTCTGCCACATGCTTTCCTCAATGTTCTCCCCTCCCAACAGCAAGCTCATTTCTCTTGTACAACTTCAGTACCCCAAAATACACAGTGTATATATATATAGATATAGATAGAGATATTTAAAAAAGAAAAATTCACTGCCGTTGAGTCAATCCCGACTCATAGCGACCCCTCCTTGGGTTTCCCAGGCAATATCTTGGTATTTCTACAGAAGTAGACTGCCCAATCTCCCTTCCCAGGAGTGGCTGGTGGGTTTGAACTGCCAGCCTTCTGGTTAGCAGTCAAATGCCTTAAGCACTCCGCCACCAGAGCTCCCAAATACACGGTATGGTAAAAAGAAATGTGGATTAGCAATCAATGAGAAAAGGATCCCAGTCCCAATCATGCTACCATCTGTGAATCTTTCTCTCTTAACCTCAGCTTTTTATTTTGTGTTTTCAAATGAAGAGTTTGGCTTAGAGAAGTGTTTCCCAGTCCAAACTATCCTGCATTTCAAGCAAAATATCCTAAATTCTCTACTATGGACTATGAAAATAAAGGAAAAGAAGGAGGTGAAAAGGGAACAAAGTTACAATTGCTATTACCAAGAAGGGGAATACTTGCTCTGGATTACTAGCTCTAAGATTCAAAGCAATTGACCTCTGAATCCAGATAACTAATTGGTTACTTGATCTTTAGGAAGTACCACCAGAGGGCAGTATTTCTAGATTTGCAGTAAAGGGAGGCCAAAAAAAAAAAAAAAAAAAAAGCAGCTTCGACTCTTGCCTCATTTGAAGAAAAGAATCTAGGTGGCTTCAATTCTAGCCAACAGGGCTGGGGAAGGGCAAGCTCCGAGACAAACACAGGGGGCCAGAAAGGAGAGCAGGAAGTAAGGGAAACGTAGCCAGACATGCTTCACTGAATACTACTAGAAGCACAGATACACTTACATGCAAGAGGTGAAACTGTCCAGCTCCCACCAGGCATAGAGAAAAGGAAGGAGGTGAGAAAAGAGTGGAGAGTACAGAGTCTGGGTCTAATCCTTCCTGGGTAGGTCACCTGGTCAGGAAAGAAAAGCAGGAGAGACAAGAGATGTCTAGTAGCTACAGCAAGATGCACAGGCATATTGAGCAAGTTCTGAAACCAAGTACAGCCATAAGGAACGACACAAGAGATCCTGTATGTCTGGGGGACATTCCATCCTTTTGTCTTAGAGTCAGTACCTCCTTCGAGCAGCCCTGCCTTCCCCTTGGGATTCTGTATTACTGAAAGCTAAGATCCCCAGCTCTTGGGCCAACCACAGTCTGACTGATTTAGAACTTGCAGAATTTGATTATTAGTTTTATCACAAAATGGCACCTTTCTTTGTGCTTTTGGACTCTTAAGATGGGTATTTGAAAAGCTAAATATCTACTTCACTTAGACTAGCCTTGCCTTGTACAATAATGGGGTGAGGTGAGTACTTAGTCCCTTATATAAACTGCACCTTGAAACATTACGATGTGCTCATCTTGGGGTGGCCTGTGAACTACCATACCGCCCTTAGATCAACCTAACAGCTCTACTTTTATATAGTTTATATCTTGCAGTTTTGCAAATGATGTCCTTTGAAACAAAGTTCCCATGCTGAAAACAAAAAAATAAAACCCACTGAAGGTAGATAGGTGGGGCTAGGAAGTGGTAGAGGTCATCCCAAAATTCTTGACCCTACACTCTGTTTAACAATAGCCATCCCTAAAGAGCAGGAAGAAGTAGATCCTTCCTTTTGCATCTAAGTCATGGCTTAAGACTAAACATTCATACTAATGAAAAGAGAAAACTCTGAAGCCCTAAGCTTTTTGCTTGGCCTTTTTATAAATGGAGCTCCCAGGTCAGATGGATAGAGAAGGTCTGTGGACCTTCCACAAAGCCCAAAGAAAGAAGCCATCTCTCATCCTCACCTTTCCTCGGATCAAGGCTTTAAAAGCAATTCGTGCAATTAGGTAGGACCAGATGATATGTAGAACCTGTAGGACCAGGAGAAGGCCATTGAAGAGCCACCAGGAGGGATAGGGCCCAATCATCTCCCAACTCTCAAAGAGGGTCGTGTTCAGAATCCTAGAAGAAGGAAGCCAATATTCAGACTCTAGAGTCAAAGCGAGGCAGACAGGGATGAAGCTGGATTCTCTGGGATGTACAGCCCTGTGTGTGTTTTTGCCCATATCTCATCATCAGGTGAAGTTGCAGGGACATTCATACACAGTGAGACAGGAATAAAGAAAGGAAGCCTATGGAGTTTTCTATCTTTAGGGACAAGGGAAGACTTAGGAATCTTAGGAAGTGATAGATTAAGTATAATTAATCACTTTAAATATGCAAAGTTTCGCAAAAATTGGGACAGCAGCAGGATCATCATAATCCTCAGATCTTCAGCATAGCTGATATTCCCTGAGACTGAGGAAAATCTCCAACCCACTGAGTCACTGACTTGTACCAGGGTGAATGTAAGAGAGAGAGGGGTGTGTGAGTGTATGTGTGTATCTGTGTGTCTGGGTGTGGGTGGGTGGAGAAGAGAGTATAGAGCAGGGACATAGGCAAGAAGAGTCTGAGAATTTTGTGATCAGTGCAAAGGAAGGCAAAGGAATTACTTTGGCATAAATAAAGACTGTTCCTCAAAGATGAGTCTGGAAAACCAGAAACAAGTGAGTTGGGTACTTTGAGTCTGGATCACAACCTTGCTAGAAATATTGTGCAAAACAGCTGAGATCCTGAGAGAGTCCAATAAGGGTTAGGTTAGACCCAGGAGAAAGTAGGGCGATAAGGTTCTTGGAGTTCTCTTCCCAAACTGCCAAAAGGAATCATTAGCTACTTACCTATCACAGTTCAAAACCCCTATACTTACCAGAATGGATAGATTCCTAGACGAGTGACCACAAAAACAGCACTGAAGATCACAAAAAGGGTGTCACAGAGTCTCTGATACTTGGCATAATTGGCCAGCTTGGCTGCCTGGAGAAGGGAATATAAGAATTGAATTGAGGGGAGAATGCCAGTTCTTACATAGGAAGGGAAGGAGAGAAAGAGAGGAGTAATGAGAAAAGAGGGGCTATGTCTCACCTCCAGCAAGAAGTCTGAGGCATCATGTAGACACATGACCAGAGTTCCCACCCGAACCATGTTGTTAATGTAGGAGAAGGTGATGAGCCCAATGGTGGCCAAATGATGCACAAACATGATCAGGAAGTCCTAGGAAGTAATGAAAATCAAAGAGGCAGGTAAAGACAAGGCTATAGAGATGCTAGCCAACCCAAAGACCTCTGAGGATCATACCTCATCCCTTAGAGGTTCCATTTTGCTTAGATTGTTCCTCAAGGAGCTGCCTAGAATTTTACTCAACTCTCCTTACAGGGCCTCTGACTCAGAGTCTATGCTAATATAGCTCAAAGCAGAGAAAAGAGCAATTTTCTTTGATAGTCGAAGACTATGCAGAGCATGGATGTTGAGCTGATACTTGGGAATAATTTCCTAGGTGGCAGTGGAACACATAAGCCTTACATATCCCTAAGATTCTGAGATTAATCTGTTTGGAGGAAAGACATTTCAGCCAAAGGGCAGTAACAGAAAAAAGAGACTTATGGAAGGGCAGGCTAAATAAAGACTTTCTAAAAAGTCTCAAAAGGAATATACATTAGCTAAATAATCTGTATTACTGGAAGCATTTGCTGTCTCCAGATTTAAAGCTCAGGTGAGACCTGCAGAAATGTCTACTTGAGTTGTCAAACATATAATAAGACATATTTCTCAGTCCACTGGGAGAGAGCAGGTGAATGTGGGTCAGAGATGTAAGGGTGTAAAGTCTGTGCTCTCCACACAGGCAGACACAGTGGTATAATATGGTCTAGTTTTTAAGTTGGGTGATGGGTTCACAGGTATACATTCTATTATTATGTTTTATAACTTACACACATATTAAAAACATATTATAAAATTTTACCAAGTAGAGGACCTGTGTCTCATGTTCATAGGATAATGAATGAAAGGCATTTGAATTAAGTATTAAGCTTCTAGGTTAAACAACAACTAATGACCCAGATTCATCTTGATCCACTTCCATAAAAGCTGACATGAGTTTTCCTTACCAAAGATAATCATGAGTTAACAAAAGATCAGGGTTACAGCTGTTGGAACCACATTATGTCAGATGGATAGCACTGAAAAAAAGCTTCTACTCTTTCTGTTTGGTTATAAAAAATTTAAGTCATTTTCAACTCTGTCACTATGTGAGCAAGTCAAGTCAGTTCACTTCTCTGAATCTTTGTTTCCAAAATAATAGCAGGAAGAGGGTAAACTAAAATAATCCAAAACCCCTTAAAGTTGACATTCTTTGACAAGTGGGGCCATCCAAGAAGGGAGAACAGAGCTTTCCTGGAATCAGACCTTTTCCCAGTCAGGCCTTGCTCTCTCAAGTTCCAACTAGTTTCCTGAGCATCAGGCATGGAAGAACCTTGGAGAAGAGTAAGGAAAAGGGTATGCTTCTTAGCTGGCTAACTTTTTTCACTCTGGGCTTGAATGTTTCAAACATAATTTATCAAGTCCCATTTCTGGGAACATTACAAAAAGCTGATAATTCCATCAAATCTATTTTATCCCTCTTTTGTGGTTCTAATTAGGGTGGAGAACCCATCACAAAGGTAACTACTAGAATGGAGGATGCAATTAGTTAGAGAGTTAAAGGAGTCCTTACCTTTCTTTTAATGTCTGTAAACTGAGAAAACATAAGAGACCAATAGAAGGCCAGTTCCATGATGTAATAGTAATAAAGCCCACTTGTGAGAGGCTGGAAGAAAGAAAACAGTAGTTACACCTTTGACTATACTATAGTTAGTCAAAAAGTCAATCTATCTCTGCAATGTTCTCTTTTTTGGAGGACCAGTACCCAAAGAAGCAACTCTTGTGGTACAGCACCTAAAAGACTACTAACCAAAAGGCTGGTGGTTCAAACCCACCAGCCACTCCGTGGAAGACAGAGCAATCTACTTCCATAAAGATTTACTGTCTAAGAAAGGCAAGTGGAGTCACTATGAGTTGGAATCAACTTGATGGCAGTGAGTTGTTTTTTTTTTTTTTTTTGAGTACCCAAAATGATTAGCGACATTCTTCCTATCCATCATCTCCCACGATCCACAGTAGTTGTCAGACTTCGGACTGATGTGGAGACTTAAACCTCCTCCCTCTGTCCTCCCTCATTGACATCTTTGGCTTTCATCTTTTAGAGATCAGCTAAGGTTAACACATAATATGGCACAACCAAATCAGTGTGGCCAGAATTCTGGGCAATTAGTGCTTTTCAAGGGATTAAATACACTCAAGCCTTGCCCTCTTTTACCCTTTTAGTAGTTCCTTGACATTTTTCTAGTACAGCTTAGAACAAAGATACTTTTTTTTTTTTTTTTTAAAGGAAATAATATTCTATTTATTATATTTGTTCAAATGTGTAACTATTTTAATGTTTTGGTTAGTAACAAAACAGTCAACATTAATAGCACAGATTCTGTGACAAATATAACTCTGAAGTTCTAATGGCTTGATAAAATGTGAACATTAAAAAGCTGTTTTAGTTTCTCTTAATGCCATTCCTAGCCTAGAACAAAGATACTCTTAAAGAGACTTCAAGTTATCCTTGATACAAAAGGGACACCTGAACCAGAAGGCACCTCATTAAGCAGCAGGAAGCTGCATTTTCCCCTAACTCAATTAGGGCAAATATAAAGGAGAAACTAGAACAAAAAGATCACTGAATTTCACTGCTATGGTGGCCCCCAAAAGAGATAGCCCGGAACCATGACTCAGAAGGACTCAGCCCTTAATTCTTCAGGAAAACCAAGGAAATATGTCATCTATCCTAGGACTGACACATACTCTCCCCTACCCCACCTTTCATACACACAAGGCCCCTGTCTTTTTTTTTTTTTAGGGAAATTTTTTAATTGTGATTTGGGTGAAAATTTACAGAGCAAATTCACCTTCCATACAGCAGTTCACATACACTTTGTCTCATGACATTGACTACAATTTCCCACAATGCAGCAGCTCCCCTCCCACTTCCTCCCGAGTTACCTCTTCCCTGTGTCCATCCCTCCATGCACTCCTTCCCCCTGAGCTGTCTCCCTGTGCATAAACAGCCCTTCTTCCTCCCATAACTGTTCTCTCTAAGGCGTGTATCCACCTCAGGTAAATGTCCAACTCATATGCAAGGCCCCTGTCTTGAAAGGACTCAGATCCTACCTGATACGGATAGTTATGCCAGCACTGTCGAGTGTCCCACAACCAAGGTGACTAAGAGAAAACAGATAACTCAGGTCAACCTTCAGGATTCTCACCTGGCTCCAAATCTGCCCTGTAAAATCCCCTTCTCTCTATGTTGGGGGCAAAAGAGAGACGGGGAATAAGAAGGAATCCCCCATGCCAGAGTTTAGGGATTCCTAAAGGATCAGTAAATGCTTGACTATGAGCCAAAAGGTTGGCATTTCAAATTCACACAGTGGTGCCTTACAGTTAGAAGAAAGGCCTGGTGATCTGTCTCTGAAAGGTCACAGCCTTGAAAACTCCAAGGAGCGCAGCTCTCCTATGCACCCAGGAGGCCGAACATGCAACACTGAGTAGTAATCAGCTTAAGGGCAACCAGCAGTAGGTAATAAAGGATCAGTAAACGGCTAGATTTTTCTTCCAGGATAAGAAAGGGTTAGTACAAATAGAACAATCATGCTTTGACGTAAATAAGGGCAGGAAATAGCTCTAAGATAGTTTTAGGAAACATCACCACCAGGGATATGAGAAATGGGGAAGATATGATTCAGTTTGACAATGAAGAGAGATTTCTACACCAAACTAAAGACTGAAAAGTCAAAAGTAATAATCTCTAATGTTGTTGTTGTTGTTTGCCGTCGAGTCGGCCCCGACTCATAGCGACCCCTCCTTGGGTTTCCCAGGCAGTATCACTACGGAAGTAGGATTGCCCAACCTTCCTCCTAGGGAGTGGCTGGTGGGTTTGAACCGTCAGCCTTCTGGTGAGCAGTCAAGTGCCTTAGGCACTATGCTACCAGAGCTCCTAATAATCTCTAATAGAATGTCTTTTTTTCTTTTGTTTTTAAGAGTTTAACACAATTTATTTTATGCTTAAATAATCAACTAGGTCATTCAGTGTGAGGTTTTTCATACATATGTCATTAGAGCTATGTATCACTGAATGCTGATTTTGTATGAATACAATCAACAAATTTGAGAATTTCACTAATCAGTTATGTCTTTTAAGGAATTTATCCATGTCATCTGTTAAATTTATTGCATTAAATTGTTCATAATATTGTTTTATAATCTCAATGTCTATAGGATCTGTAGCTCTAATCTATTTTTCCCTCATATAATTTATGTTTTTTTCCTTTATCAGTCTTGCTAGCTAGAAGTTTTAATTTTAATTGTAACTTTCAAAGAACCAACTTTTGGCTTTGCTAATTTCCTCTATTTTTTGTCTAATGCCAATTTCATTGTTTCCTGCTCTTATTTTTACTGTTTCCTTCCTTTAACTTTGCTCTTCTTTTTTCGGAGCTTAAAGTAGAAATTTTGATTATTGATTTTAAAGCTTTTTTCTTTTCTAATATAAATATTTAAAGCTATAAATTTGCCTCTAAGCATGCTTTAGCTGTATATACAAATTCTGATGTTACATATTATTCAATTCTTCTTTGACTCATGGCTACCAAGAAAAGTGTTTAACTTCCACATATTTTCTAGGTATCTTATTGTTATCGATTTCTAATTCAATTCCACTGTGGTCACAGAACACATTCTATAACATTCCAATATTTATCTATATCTATATTTGAATCTATAGATATAGATATATATACATTTTTTATTGTGATTTGGGTGAAAGTTTACAGAGCAATTCATTTTCCATACAGGATTTCATACACATTTTGTTTCATGACATTGATTGCAATTCCCACAATGTAACAGCTCTCTTCCCACTTCCTCCCTGTGGTTACCTTTTTGCTGTGTCCTTCTTTCCTATGCATTCCTGCCCCCTGAGGTGTCTCCCTGCGCAAATACTGTCCTTCTGATCGTCCATGGTTGATGGTTCTAATGAGTGTACCTACCAGGTGTAAATGTTCACCTTATATTACAAACTTTAGAAATTTACTGAGACATTTTATGGCACCAGCATATAGCCTACTTGGTGGATGTTCTACATGTGCATGAAAATTATATATATTCTTAAACTGTTTGTGTAGTGTTTTACAAATGTTAATCAGGTCAAGTTGGTTGACAGTACTGTTCAAATATTCTACAGCCTTAGTGATTTTGTGTGTGTATGTGTGCTATGTGTCTAGTTATTTAATCAATTACTGAGAAAAGAATATTAAAATCTCTAACCATAAGTGTGTATTTGTATTTGTTTATTCTCTTCTTTTGGGTCTGTCAGTTTTTGCTTCATGTATTCTGAAGTTATATCCGTTAGAGAAAAAAAAAAAATTATAGTACAGTGAGATAAAACCCACATGGAACCAGAAATCAAAAAGCCTGTAATTCTTCTTTGACAATTAACTGAAAGCGGAACTAAACCCTGTCTTCCCCACTTAAAAAAGTTATTGATTCCATTTCTGCAAATGTTTCTTCCTTGAAAGAACAGGATTTTTGTCAAGTGCTTTATAAACTACCAAATGCTATACTTATTTAATTATAACTACTATTATTATCATTACTTAGGGGGAGAAATCATCATGAAGTTATTGAAATCACACAGAAAACAATCTACTTAAAGTGGGGGGAAAAAAAAGAAACCCAACCTTGAGCTATGGACGTTGAAAAGAAAACATTTAGAGAGAATAAACATCTAAAGGTCTCCAACAACAGCAACAACAAAAGGTATTCAGTTATCTCTAGAGAACTAGGCACGATTAGAACCCAACCAGAGAACCAGAGAAAGTTCAGACTCACCAACCAGAGAAATCTAATTCCGTAGCAGAATATACATAAATAGAAAGTAAATCTCCACCTGAATGGGAGAAAGAGTAGAGATTAGATAAATGTCACTTAAAAGAAAGTCTCTAAGGCTGAGGAAGTTAAGATAGCAGATTTGGGGGTAAGATAGTTACTGGTGAGAAATAGGTAAGTTCCCAGAATAGGGACAAATACTGTTACCTAAAAAGCCAAAGACAGAGTCATATTCCAGCCTCTCTTTAAAACACACTGCCACAGTGTATACTGGCTTTAACCATATACTTGTCCAGCTTTTTTTTCTATTCTATATCAATAGTGTCTAATTTTCTTCTCTGCACAAAAATGACCAATACACTGCTCTGCTTCTAGAGGATAATTAGTAAAAATTTAGTGAAATGATGATAGCACTGCCCTGAAAAGGGATGTTCCCTACTAAAAACATCAGTTTAGAGTAAGCTGATAATACCTCTATCAAGGTGTACAAAGGTGTTTATATACTCATATATAAACGCAATTACAGGAATTCTCTCTCAATCTATTTGGGAAAGGGGGACAAAATAGAATTGCACTTAGCTTAGTGGCAAGCATGTCTGAAAAACAAAGGACAACCAATCTTCCAGTTCTCTTCCTATAATAGTTTGGGTCACATTCAGTGACAACTGTCCCAACAACAGAAATGACTTCCCAAAGTAAAACTTCAGTCCAGTCACATCCCCACATTCCGCCTCATTCCCCATCTCCCTCCGCACACCTACATGCTTTCACAGAATTTAGTGAGCGTTGGGGGCTTGTCCTGATTCCTCCGATGGCGAAACCAACATTGTATTTTTCGGACATCCCAGTCCAGTTGCTTTGACAGGCCCTCCAGCCTCTTCTCATCAGGACACTGCAGATGGACGGCCAGAGTCAGAACATTCCCTTTCCCCTCAAGCCTCTCATCACATCCTCTGACTAGCTGACTGGCAGAGAGGCTACAACCATAGTGGTTCAAGTGATGTTTCTGTTGCCAGACTTCTCCCCAAAGTTGTTTTTCGTAAGAAGAGGTCCTTTATTCACACAACGAGGACCTTTTCTACTCACCTGTACATCCTTGTTTGGTCTTCTCCCTTCAACCCAAACTGAGTGAAAATGGGTATTAAAAACCCAAGCTGCAAAGACTTTCAGGACCAGCCCCGTCTTGTTTAAACAACTAAGTAAAGTGAAGGGGGAAAAAAAAAATCAACGAATTTGTGTGTGTATGTGTGTGGTGGTGGCGGTGACAAGGTGGGATGGTGGTGACTGCTGTGCCTAAAACTCAAAGGTATGTGACCTTGCCTTATTTAGGGACCCTGGCCCAAAGGAGACAGGGATAAAGTTCTCCTTATAGCTATATGGCCTGATCAACTGTGAAAGATCATCCCATCCTGTTCTCACTCTTAAAAGATACTTGCTCTCCAGCCTCCCCTGCCCTATGGGGCAATCCCTCAACGTGATTTTTCCTCCCTGTTTCCTTGCCAACTTACCTTGGTGATAGATAGGAACACCTTTTCAAGGATGGCATTGGATTGGGCCTGATAAGGACCACTGTCCTGGATGCCAACATGGAGGGCACAAGGTTTGGCAATGAACCTGTAAGGGAGAAAACCCAAGGCCAATTCTAAATATGGTTTGCTAAGCATGAAGGAAAGACCCTGATTAGGGGACTGACAGGAGGAAAAGGGAAACACTGGGCTGGAAGCCAGGACTTTTTGCTTCGGCCCTGGGTTCTGCCATTGACTTACTTGATAAGTGACTTGTTTAAGACATGTTGAAACATAGACTCTTTTCACTGGCTTCTAGATCACATCTTGAGCTTTATAGTCAGAAAGATCTAGATCCATCCAATCATCATTGTACCATTTAATGCCTGTATGAATTTGGGCAAGTTATTTTATCTCTGGGCTTCCCTTTTTTTCATCAATAAGATAAATATCAACATCCTTGTTACTCATGTGGTCTACAGACCAACAGCAATATTGGCATTTCCTGGAAGTTTATTAGCAATGCAGAATCTTGAGCCCCATGCTAGACCTACTGAATCAAAATCTGTGTTTTAACAAGATCCCTGGATGATTTATATACCCATTAAGATGTGAGGTACTTAATAAATGGCAGACTTTCTTACTTCAAAAGGTCAAGAAGGTCTCAACTGGAGGGAAAAGAGAACTGAGGGTAAGCACTTTCTAAATACAGATATCCTGGATCATGGTCATCTTCCTGCATAGTCAAAGGATTACAGAAATACTCCAGGAGTCCCAAAGAAAGAAACCAGAAAGCTGGGGAGGGTGAGAAGAAAATTACCTATTAGCAATAAATTCTAGTCCCAGATGTACCACTAATAAGCAGTATCAACTTGGTCAAGCAACTTAACTTTTTGGGTCTCAGTTTCATCATCCATAAGAAGGAGTTTATACTAGATGATTTATTTCTAAGATGTTTTCCTATAGCTAAGATTTTATGATGCTGTCATTGACTAATTATTTTCTAACTTTCAGATCTTTGAAATTGATTGGTTCTTCCCAAGAGATCTCACTCTTCCACACAACCAGAGATAAACCAGTTCTAGCCCTTTTAACATCTTATGGGAATCCCATGATGAAAATACGAACAGGAGGCGTAAGATGGAATGCTCTTGACCTATTTTTTCAATCTGCATTTGAGTCCAGAATTTATTATCTCTAAGGAGGAACTGAAAATAAGAAACTTTATTATTTTTCTCTATGAGAACTTCTTTTATTCTTATCGTCAAAGCTCCTGAGCCACTGGGGAACATTTATTCAGATAATGAAGTCAGCCATATCTGCAACCTATTCTCCCGTCCTTTTCTAAAAAGGAGATTGTACAAGAGTTCTATTCAAAGGCCAATGTTAGTAGATACCTTAATTTACACTCATTGATACTTTATTCTGTGTATCATAATGTTTTGACCTCCAACTCCTGTTTAAACTCCTGTGAACACAGATAATAATAGACTGCTGTTGCATTCAGCCAAGTTCTACACTTAGTAGTTGCTCAAAAAACCACTCACTGCCATCGAGTCAAATCTGACTCATAGTGACCCCTCGTTGGGTTTCTGAGGTGCTATCACTATGGAAGCAGAGTGCCCAATCTCGCTTCTGAGCAGTGGCTGGTGGATTCAAACCCACGTGGCTTGGTAAGTGACAAATGACAGATGTAGTGAGTCCCACTCTTGCTCTACTGGAGCTCAGTCTGGACCAAGGACTACCAGCCTCCAGAAGAGTAAGGCAGTCTTTGTTCCTGCATTGGTACTGTATCACAGATAAAACAAAATACTGAATCATCGCTCTGTCTCTTCCCATCCAAAAAAATTGTATAAATATATAAAAGCAGAAAATGGCCTTTCCAATTCCTACTCTTACTCCCTGGTCCAGACTTCTTTAATCCAGAGGCAGTTTTGTGATTTTTTGTGATTAAAGCTTAGGCACTGGAGTTAAGATTTTTACTAGCTGACAGCTCTTGTGAAAGTTACTCACCTATAGAATACGGATAATAATATCTACCTCATAGGGTTGTTGTTGTTGTTTAATTTTTATTGTGACTTGGGTGAAAGTTTACAAATTCATTTTCCATACAGCAGTTCATACACATTTTGTTTCATGACATTGACTGCAATTCCCCACAGTGTAACAGCTCTCTTCCCACTTCCTCTCTGTAGTTACCTCTTCCCTCACAGGGTTGTTTTAAAGATGAAATGACATGATGCATGTAAAGTGCCTATGCCAGTTCCTGACACATAGAAAATATTAACTAAAAGGTTGCTATTATTTTTTTCACTGGAAACAGGTTATTTCAGTCTGGGTACTCCCTGGTACCTACGGCTGAAGGTTACAAGAGCAAGAAATCTTATCTCATCCAACAGAGGCAGGTCTGTACCCAACCTACCTGGGTGAAGCCAAGATAATTTTATTACTTGAATGTGAGGATGGACTTAAATATCCTGAGTTGTTATTAGTTTACATCCCACCTTCATTAGTTCAGAGTTCAGTGAAAGACACTAAGCTACTGATATCTAGTCAGTTCCAGCTGTATAGACCCTAAAGACATTTATTTATTTGACAAATATTTAATTGAGTACCTATTTTATGCTGACATGAAGCATGTTTTCCAAATTGAAAATGAGGATGTGATCTGAAAATCATTTTTTTTTCTAATGTGGAATAAAAATGTAAGTTTGTAGGTTTAGTAATATATTAAATGAATTATCTTAATGTAGAAAGGGAAATTATTTGAAATCAGAACTTTGAGAAAGTCCAAGCTTAACCACTTACTCACTCTACATCATTCAACTGTTATTTGGTATAACCTATAAAATGGGTAGGTAGGTATCTAGGCTGGAAAAACTCCAGACAAAGAACCTAGGATTAATTCTTTCTGCTAGATCAGCACTTAAAACCTTCTCAAAGTGTGGTCTGGAATCCCTGAGGGTACCCTCAGTCCCTTTCAGGTTTGCAAGTTCAAAACTGTTTTCATATAATTTTGATTATGTTATAATAATTCTTTTCTTTCTCTCATACTCTCATGAGCATACAGTGGAATTCTGCAGAGGCTACATGACATGTAGGAGCTCAGGTAGCATAGTGCCTAAGGCACATGACTGCTCACCAGAAGGCTGGCAGTTCAAACCCACCAGCCACTCCTCGGAAGGAAGGTTGGGCAATCCTACTTCCGTAGTGATACTGCCTCGGAAACCCAAGGACGGGTTGCTATGAGTCGGGGCCGACTTGACGGCAAAACAACAACAACAACAACAAACATGACATGAGATATTGCAACAGAGGGAATGCAGAAGCTGATATGAAAATAAACTGCCAGATATTAAAAAGATTTGCAAAAAAGTAAAATAGTGCCACTCTTCTCATTAATTTTTTTGCTCTGGAAAACAGTCATTTTTCATGAAAGTATTAGTATACTAATATGTAATCAGTTTATTGTTATTTTAATGAATTAATAAATTAAAAACAAACAACAACAAAAATACACTGCCATCAAGTTGATTCCAACTCATAATGACTCTATAGGACAGAGTAGAACTGCTCCATAGGATTTCTTTACGGAAGCAGACTACCTCACCTTTGTCCTGCAGAGTGGCCAGAGGGTTTGAACCACCAACCTTTTGGTTAGCAGCCAAATGCTTTATCCACTGAGTCACATTTTTTTCCATTTTAACGTCTAAGATAGCAAATATTGACAGATATTATCCACAGATAAAAAACCTCTTTAAGGTCCTTGATAATTTTTTTTTTCTTCTTTTACCCAGCTGTTCTTAAGGAAGGTGTTCAGTTTCCATGTGTTTGCTCATTTTCCGTTGATCTTCCTATTGTTGGTTTCTAATTTTATAGCATTGCAATGTGAGATGCTTTGTAGTATCTCAATGTTTTTAAATTTATTAAGGGCTTGCTTTATGGCCTAACATATGGTCTGTCATGATGAATGTTCCATGTGCACTGGAAAAGAACGTATATTGTGCTGTTGTTGGGTAAAGTGCCCTGAAGATGTCTATAAGGTCAAGATGGTGGATTGTATTCTTTAGCTCTTCTGCATCTTTGTTGAGTTTCTTTCCAGTTGTTCTATCTTTCATTGAAAGTGGTGTATTAAACTCTCCCACTACGACTGTGAGGAGCTCTGGTAGCGTAGTGCTTAAGGCATTTGACTGCTAATCAGAAGGCTGGTGGTTCAAACCCACAGCCACTCCTTGGAAGGAAGATTGGGCAATCTACTTCTGTAGTGATACTGCCTTGGAAACCCAAGGAGGGGTTGCTATGAGTCAGGTCTGACTCGATGGCACATAACAACAACAACTATGACTGTGGAGTCATCTATTTGCCTTTTCAATTCTGTTAAAACCTGATTTATGTATTTTGGGGCTCTTTAATTTGGTCCATAGATATGTATCATGGTTATTTATATCTTCTTATATAATGTCCTTCCTTGTCTTGTATGGTGGTTTTTGTCTTAAAGTCAATTTGATCAGAAATTAATATTGCCACTCCTGCTCTTTTACGGTTTCCATTTGCTTGATGTACCTTTTTCCAACCTTTAATTTTTAGTCTATTTTTGTCTTTGTCTCTAAGGTGTGTCTCTTGTAGACAGCATATTGATGGGTTATGTTTTCTTATCCAGTCTGCAACTCTCCATCTCTTGAGTGGTGCATTTAATCCATTAACATTCAGTGTAATGACTG